TACAAAATTGTGAGATTTATTATTATAATTAATTATAATTGTGTACACTCTTAGAAAAATGTTTTTCAATTGGGTTCTTTATAGAAGCCAAGAGTTCTTAACTCAATTTTAAAGAACCCTTCATACCAAAAATATACTTTCATCTTTAACCATATAGAATCTTTTCTTCTTAGAGTACATGCATGTTGTTCTGCAAAACTCTTGCCAGATTCAGCATTTTGCAGCTCAGCAATGACAGCTGAATGTGTCGACTGGGAATGTTCTCTACTAACACCAGTGGTGAACTGGCCCATAGATGAGCAGGAATGCACAACGCAGGCAGAAGGAGGGGCGGCCCGTGACTGTGAATGTGTGGTGGGACCGGCCGGCTGTAGGAGGGTCACACGGCAGGAGTGATGTGTGTGTGTGTGTGTGTGTGTGTGTGAGTGTGTCGCAGTCTTCAAGCCAAGTGTGTCTTTAAATTAGGACTTTAGTGAACCCATATGCTTCAATAACAATTTAGACTATGAAGGACATATGGATTAACCGCATGGCATTTATTGCTGTGAAACCAACTGCACTGCTGAGTTTAGTGTGCTACTATTTGTTGAGTTTAAATTTAAACTATTCAATTAATCAACAAAGTACAAAAGGTCATTCTATATGTGCTGTGCATACACTTCATCTCTGATATATTCAGCCCTGGGAGGCTTATTACTTAATTAAAACATTATTATTAAATGTTTTTAGTATATTTATTTTATTATTATAATATTTTTAATAATATATAATAGTGTAATATTATATTTTTAATATTATTATGATAGTACTGTCAGCAAGGGGTTGAATCAAAGATGAAAATAAACGGCTGGATCTATTCCCAAGCAGTTTCAATGAAAACAAAACTCAGACAAACACTTCTCATGAAACAAAAACACGGTTAACAGAACAACTACTATACTTTAACGAGATCTGAGAAAGAATTAATCAAACACAGGGCTATAATACTGAGGGAAACGCTAAGGGACTACACGAGATCATTAACCAGACACAGGTGGAACACATGAGGGCAAGTCAAAAACCATGGCAACTAACTTAGGGGCTGTTTACACGATACCGTTTTCAACAAAAAACGTACAACTTTTTATGCGTATTGGCCGTTCATTTACACGACAAAGGTGTTTTGGGAGCCTGAAAACGCAAACTTTTGAAAACGGGTTTCAAAGTGCAAGTTTTTGAAACCGGTCTCTGTGTAAACAACAAAACCGTGAATGTCTGAAGACGATGACGTCATGCACATGTGTATTACGTGTTCAGTCTATAGTGTTTCATCGCTATCTAAAGGCCTGGCAGCAAAATACAGCGTTTTCAGTCGTTTACACGGATCCGTGTGAATGGGGATCGTTTTGACAATGGTGTCGTCTGTACGCGGAAAACTTTAAGCATATCGTTGTCATGTAAACGTACCCTAAACGAGATCATTAACAAGACACAGGTGGAACACACGAGGGCAGATCAAAAACCATGGCAACTAATGAACTAAGACAAAGAAAACATGAGCAGGAAACTGTAAATTCACTCAAAAACTCAAACCCAGAACAGTCTTGACAAGTACACCGACGGAATCAAATCTTGGTTCAAATGTTGACATATCTTACTAAGATGTGATTTTATAGATAGCTTATTAAGTTCAAAAAGTGGACCTAACCCTAACTCATTTAGACAGGTTTTGAACCCTGTTTTGGTTTTGATTCAGTTGAATGTAACTTTCAACAAGAACAATCCTCCTTAGGCTAGAAGTCTAATAAGTAGTAAAGTCTAATAAGTACACCGCTCACACTGTCCAGGGGTCACATGACGCCACAGCATACGGCTGATGTAAGGGTGTGTTTGTATGGGTGAGATCACAGCAGAAAAGCTCTCGACGTGTGTCAGGACGCTGGAATCTGCTCCCATTCATTCTCCACAAAGGAAATCAGGGGTGGAGGACAAATGTGTGTCTTTAGGAAACTCATGGCTGAAGTGACAAACTATAAGAATAAACTCGTTAGATTTATCAGGAAGTCAAGTCATTGCACTTCCGTTGTTTTCTTCCCCCATTAGTCTGATTAATTTGCACTCATAAAGGGAAGTTTATAAGGTCAAAACATGTTCTGCCAGAGCACTGTGAGAAAGAAACATTTTAATCAGTTTTATTAAATGTAAAGTTATGACTGGAAACTCTGATTGAGCGAGCCATGTTTGAAGAGAATAGATACCTTGGCAACAGCCAACAGTCATTGTACACTGTAAAACATTATATGATCAATAAGTTACGACAACATGTGTTTTCACATTGCTTTAACTCTTCAAAATTTTGAACTTTTTTATGTCATGCAATATTTTGTTTCTCATTTTTTTAAACTCATTTGAACTCGTTTTTTTAAAGTCAGTTTAATGTAATTTAAGTTGAAATGACGTATACATCCAAGTTGATTGTACTTAAAAATTTGAGGCAGCAACTTTTTTACAGTGATAATTTACTCAATTATTCATTAAACCAAGTAATACGACTGTATTACTTGATATAATGAATAATTGTTTACTATTATTAGTAAGCTTACCTATATTAATTGAACATTGTTTCGTTTTGTTATGTCTCTGTTACCGCTGTTCATAAGCCACAATAAGAGGCTGTGTTACGGTGATTTTCACACGCTTTTAAGCACTGCTTCACGACATATGAATAACAGATTGTTTTATTACCGAGGGTCATGCATCTCTGTGGTAAAAGAAAGAAGTGTGATTAATTGTTTTGAACTTGCACTTGCAGTGTACTTCCAAAAAAGGAAAAGAAGTAAAAGGCCATTTAAGTGCACTTAAAGAGAGTCACTTTTATGACTGTTTTAACACACTTAAGTGCTCCTAAAAATGCAAATAAAAGGCTTTACTTTTGAAGTACATGTTAAATCATTGTTTTTTTAATAAAGTTTTGTCGTGCTTTAAAGAAGTAGTTATGTTGGTGTGTTGACAAACATACTAAAGCACAGTAAAGTACTTAATTATAATTCGTTATTCGACATTACATTAAAGTATTTTTTAAATGTACTAAATTGCAACTTTATCATTACAATTGTGTAATTACAGATATGTTTAAAAACATTACACTTTAGTTTAGGATCCAATTCTCACTATTTGCTTATTATAATGCACATACTAGGATATTGGCTGTTCATTAGCACTTATAAAGCACATATTATTCTGCATGATCATATTCTACGTCCCTTAATCCACCCAATACCTAAACTTAACAAATACCTGACTATTAATAAGCAGTAAATTAGGAGCTTATTGAGGCAGAAGTCATAGTAAATAGTTAATATGTGTTTCCCATACTAAAGTGTTACCCATTTAATATTACTAAACTAGGCTCGAATGCAATTTAGTGTCTACATTCAGTTCACACTTAAGTTCTTTTAAAGTATATTACGTCTGAAATAATTACAGGGTTTAAAGTATGCTAAACTGACTTCTTTTTGACAAAGGGAATAGAAGTTATGAGCAGAAGTTATTCACCTCTTATTAATACACATGCATAGAAAGGAAAATGTTTTACTGATGGGTTTAATAAACCATCATTACATGAATGGTATACTAAACTTCAAGTATTAAATATATTTTCACTGATATTAGACCAGTATCAAAGGAACAAGAAGTTCATCAGGACGGTTCTACAACATTCATTCTTGTCGTACTACAGATGCTTGAGAACATTTTATTTTTGTTCTCGAACCCCCTGAAGCCCAGCTCAACACAACAGTGGGCGTCTGTATCCTCTGTGGAAAACTGATGAGTTACGTAATGCACTGTAATACTTCCTTATCACAGGCTGCTTTATTCATAAAGCCTGATTACCAGCGTCTAATCCTGAACCACAGAAAAGACCTGTGTTACTTCATGTTGGTCTGGCTTAATAAAGATTTTACACCATTACCAAATGTGTCCACAGATGATCCCCATCTAAATATCAATGTTGTCTCAGACGTTCACAGGAGATGTCAAAACTACCAAAGACATTGAGGAAAATCATCCGAGGAGGAACATGCGAGGTATCACCGTCTGTTTTCTCTGGGAGAAAGTAAGGACACTTCAGCAAAGTCTCAGTTTTATATTAAAGAGATATCATTTGTGATCTCTGAACCCAATGTCATTAGCGTGTGTCAGCAAGTGATGCCATATATAGTTTCAAATTAGAAGTGTTATATCAAGTCATCTGACCACATGTGCCTTTAAAGACAAAGGCGTAGTTCCACAAAAAAAATATTCAGCAGCAAATCATCATATTAGAGTGATTTCTGAAGGATCATGTGACTCTGAAGACTGGAGTAATGATGCTGAAAATACAGCTTAGATCACAGGAATAAATTACAGTTTAACATTATATTCACCTAGAAAACAGTTATTTTAAATTGTAATAATTTTTCACAATATTACTGTTTTTACTGTATTTTTAAACAAATAAATGCAGCCTTGCTGAGCAGAAGAGACGTCCTTCAGTGGTGTACATTACAATTACAATGAATACCTCATACCAACTTTTACTATCTGTTAATAAAGACACTTTTCCACTTTGTCATCGCTGAGAAACTTCTCAAAAACAAGGTCAACTCTCCATCTATCGTCTATGTCGTGAGCCTTGTTGTAAGAAACTGATTCTTGTAGAAATACAACATTAGAATCTCTTTCGAAGAACTACCTTGTAGTTTCACAACCTCGAGCACGAGGTTAAAACTGCAAAACTACATCTCAACATGATTTAAACTGTGTCAATTTAGGTTGAGATTTGATAGAATCTCTGAATATCTACAAAATCACAAGTTTTGTGGGAAAACAAAGTCCCCCACAGTGTCCGGGTCGTATGGGCTGTCGGAGAGTTTGCGGTCACACTGTATAATGTCAGGCTGTTTCCTGTCTCCTCCTCCTCCTCGGGACAGCGGCTCGTAGGGGACGAGGAGGGGGGGTGGTCTCTTAAAATCCCTCCACTCCTCCGTCCACCACCCTAGTTCCCTGTCCCGGATTACAGTCTCCGTCCCTCCGCTGCCTGCGTGTGAAGATGTGTTCCCTGGGCTTTGCCAGGTCTCTGGGATTCGCCCTCATCCCTCTCGCCACTTGCTGCATCGTGGCAAACGTCCTGCTCTTCTTTCCCGACGGGAAGATGATATACATTCAGGAGGATCATGTGACCACATATGTCTGGTACCTTATGGGGATCGGAGGAGGTGGTTTTCTGGTGAGTTTCAGATTTGTGCTGGTGTGAATGTTGTCTTGTGTGGGAAAGTGTGGGTGGATTGAGGTGTCTGGAGACACACTCTCTTCCCATGAGCAACAAACTGAATAAACACTACATATTGTCTTAATTAAAATATAAAAATGGTAAATGTTTTAAAGGTTAGTGTTTGGTTGAGAGGTTAAGATTGAGTTGAGCTAATGAGAAATCACTGCAATGAAGCAATAAATATATAATAACTGTGGTTTTGGTTTAGGGGTTAGGATGTAGTAAATAAGCGTAATAAAAAAACACAAGTCAATGGGAATATTCTTGGTCAGAAGCGGTGCAGTTGAGTGTGTGGGATGAGCAACACACTCTCAAGACAGTTTGAAAGTATTTTAGATTTGGCAAATTAGTGATGAATTCGCACAATCACTTATTCATAATCAGATTCAGCTGTTCCTGCCCACGCCCCCTTGAAGGATAGACTTAGGGTGGGTTTAGGCGTGGACCCGATGACTTTTTACTCCGTTTTCATATTTTTCGCACGGGTCAGATTGTGTGAATTTGGGTGACTCATACAAAACGTACAAATTCTCCTAAGATTGGGTTTGAATGAATGTTATAAAGTAAACTTCCGGGCATTTCTTGGTTGAAAATGAACACCTTAAAAGAGAAAATATTGAGTTAACACTTAAATAAATGGATAAAGCGACCTTATTACAGACATAGGCTACATCTGAGGAAACAATGAAACACCTAAGCAATGAAAACTTTCCTTGTAATGGAATTAAGCTTAAGCTGGAGTCAAAATCTTCAGATAACCAATATGTTTGCCAATATACCAATCGCATTAGGGGTGTAACGGTACCCTCACGATTCGATACATATCACGATACCGAACTCACGATACGATATTATTTCGATACTCCAAGACATATGATAAAAAGTTAATAAAAAATGTAATGTTGATTGAAATTGCATTATTATACATAAAACTCTTACGACAAACATGTCTTCTAATATCTTCATTTGTTGCACATACCGATCTGCAGCGGACACATTTTTATTGCACTTTAGTATTGCGATATAATGTTACAACTCAACCCGATCTCACGGCAATTCGTACTTATTTTACGAGGTGGCAAGTTTGTACGAATTCATACTATTATTTGCTAAATCGCACATATTTTACGAGTTGACCAATGGGTATGAACTTGTACGAATGACCGACCCCTGACCCCGCCGCTAAACCCACCCATCACTGGGGTTTAGACTCTTCGCACAGATTCGTATGAATTGGTCGTGAGATAGCGTTGTACAACCCTAGTTCCTTCTCGACGATATCTTCATAATCTTTCATCAAAATGCCAGATTGCTCCACATCCAATGCAATTTTCCTTTTTTCCTGACATTACCAAACCACTTTTCACAGTCCATGGGTAAAAGGTTCCAGTCTGGTTGAATGGTTGAATGATTCTGACATTGATGTCAGAAGTAAAATGCAGTAATTGAGGTTCAATTATTTAAGTAGCCGGTTGAACTGTACTGAAAACTGCTTGTCCACATTCAGGTGCTGATCCCGGCCTGCGTGTTTCTGGGAATGGGGAAGTGTGTGGACTCCTGTGGGACAGAGAACTGTGCGGTGAGTGTTGGGAAGGGGGTCCTCTAACACAGGCTGTACCGGAGTGTGTTTACCCGAAAGCATCGTTAGCCAACTATGGTCGCAAGTTCTGTTGTTATCAGCATAGTTCAACAAATCAGTGTTTCCTGAAGACATAGTTCTAACGAACACTCGCAAACAGCGCCGCAGAGTTGTGTGTTTGGAACGACAGCTCTCGACCTGTGGTTAGAAGCAGAGTTTCTAGTTTGCATGACATGTGGACTCAATAAATCCTTATCTTGAGCAAAATAAGCAAACTGACATTCAGTACAATCTGTATCTTTTATTCAGAATACATACAAATGTCATTTGTGTTTAAAGCGTCATTTTTAAAGACTACGCATGTGCGAATGTGCTCAAGTACATGAGAACGAGCCTTTGATTGAATCTGGAAATAAAGCAAAATATCTGAGAAAAATGAGAATTAGTCGTCAGATGCCATGTCTGTAATTTCTAGCAAAACATCTATAATAATAATTCATTACATTTATATAGCGCTTTTCTCGGCACTCAAAGCGCTTTACATATCTCCTCAACCACCACCAATGTGCAGCACCCACCTGGATGAGGCGACGGCAGCCATAGTGCGCCAGAACGCCCACCACACACCAGCTTACTGGTGGAGAGGAGACAGGGTGATGAAGCCAATTGGTATATATGGGGATGATTAGGAGGCCATGATGGACAGAGGCCACTGGGCAAATTTGGCCAGGACACCGGGGTTACACCCCTACTCTTTCGAAAGACATCCTGGGATTTTTAATGACAACAGAGAGTCAGGACCTCGGTTTAACGTCTCATCCGAAGGACGGTGCTCTTTGACAGTATAGTGTCCCCATCACTACACTGGGGCGTTAGGACCCACACAGACCACAGGGTGAGCACCCCCTGCTGGCCTCACTAACACCTCTTCCAGCAGCAACCTGGTTTTCCCAGAAGGTCTCCCATCCAGGTACTAACCAGACTCAGCCCTGCTTAGCTTCAGTGGGCAACCAGTCTTGGGCTACAGGGTGATATGGCTGCTGGCATCTAGCATTAATACGATCTGAAACTAAAGCAATATGCCCCTTGAAGCCGTGATTTACAGTGAATAGAACAGTAACAACGCCCCGTTGTTAGCTAGGATGCGGAGCGAAGTGCCTAAAACCCCTTTAGCTGTTCTAAATTCACTGTAAAACACGGCTTCAAGGGGCTATTGCTTTTATAAAACGGTTACTGCATAAAAATATTCATTTTAATATTTATTTTATTTATAAAATAAACACCAGCAACAAAACATATAACGTTAACACATTATTCCTCCGCCAAGCAATGTAGTTCCAGAGAGGTTGCTAAGCAACACATGCAGCAACAAAGCGTCACTAACGGCAGTTGCGCAGTAACACTAATGTAATGCGGTCGCAGGTGTGTGTGTGGAGTAATTTACAACGGCTTCGAACGCGTCTCAACCAATCAGAATCAAGGACCGGAATTATCCGTTTTTATAAAGATTCATTAAAGGGTTAGTTCACCCAAAAACTCTGTCAGTAATTACTCTCCCTCATGTTGTTCAACCCCGTAAGACTGTCGTTCATCTTCGAAACACAAATTAAGATATTTTTGATTAAATCTGAGAGCTGGATCACTCCTCCATAGGCTTCTAAGGGATTGAAACTTGCCGGCCCAGAAAAACATCATTAAAATAGTCTAAGTGACTACAGCGGCTCAACCTTAAGTTTATGAAGCGATGACTTTATTCAACTCTTCATTTCCTTCTCTGTGGGCCTCGAGTGAGTTCACGTAGTGTAACAGCGCAGCGCTTCTGTGACATCACAAGTATCACACACATGACCAGCGTTGGCCAATAGTGAGCCTGCGTGTGACGTACAACACAGAAGCGCTGCGCTGTTACACTACGTGAACTCACTCGAGGACCACAGAGAAGGAAATGAAGAAAGTATTCTCGTCGCTTGATAAACTTATGGTTGAGCCACTGTAGTCACTGTAGGCAAGTTTCAATAACATAGAAGCCTATGGAGGAGTGATCCAGCTCTCAGATTTAATCAAAAATATCTTAATTTGTGTTCTGAAGATGAACGAAAGTCTTACGGGGTTGAACAACATGAGGGAGAGTCATTACTGACAGAGTTTACATATTTGGGGTGAACTAACCCTTTAAAAGAAGTTATTACTCCACCACCTGCGTGACATCATTAACCAACGTGGTTGAACGACCAAATGCGACAATGTGGTTTCGGGAAACAGTCGTGACTAGCTAGCTGATTTCTTCAACGATGCATCGTAATATAGTAGTGAAGCAGTGAGTTTCAGCGAAACACACCCCTGGTCAGCCAGATTCATCAGTTTCACACTGTGTGTGTGTGTGTGTGTGTAGATGTGTGGTTCGGTGATGGCGGCTCTGGTGGGGCTCTCCGGCTCGGGCTTCTGCTTCCTGATCTCCGCTGTGGCGCTCCTGAAGGGCCCGTTCTGCTTCACCTCACTGGGATGGGAATCTCCCTTTGAGGGCGACGGAGGACGGTGAGCTCTTCTTTCCTTTCTTGTTGATATGCATTGATGGTGACTTCAATAGACAAAAGTCCTGAACTCGGTAACACTTTATAACACTGTTCCTTCATTAATGAATAACTACACAGGAACAGAAGAGTAACGCACTATTAACATTCTAGTAACTACTATTCACTAACATGAAACTCTGATTAACACATTATTAAGTAATAGCGCTGTTAAATGTGATAGTTCACTATTGGCTAATCAGTAACTACTATTTTTTTCATACCTCACTGAAAACTACAGGTTCATAATTAACATGAATAATGCATAATTTATAATAAAAGGTATGGTAACCCACTAGTAATGACTCAAGTGTTACTACAGGAACTACTAATAATTTGGATCAGTATCTAAAGTGAAAAACATGAAAACTACCTAATATTGACTGAAGTCATTGTAAGCTTTTGAGATTTTTGTAAGATTTTGAACAGTAATTCCTATGGATGGATTTGGCAACACTTTAGTCATCACTAGTGTGTTCCCATGATCTTCACTTTAGATACTGATCCAAATAATCAGTAGTTCCTTTAGAAGGATGTAGGAACACTTGAGTCATTACCATTACTACCTTTTATTATAAATGATGCATTATTAATTTTAATTATGATCCTGTATATGGTAGTTCTCAGTGAGGTATGAAAAAATAGTATGTTAATAGTGCGCTACTCATTTGCCCCTGTGTAGTTGTTCATTAATGAGGGAACAGTCTCTGAACTGGATTGCCTGATGTGTCCAGGTATCTGCTGGCTCCAGAGAGATGGTCAGTCTGCACGCAGCCGGCGAGCGTGGTGGAGTGGAACGTGACGCTGCTGTCGATCCTGCTGGGCCTCAGCGCGCTGGAGTTCCTCATCTGTGCCCTGCAGCTCATCAGCGGCCTGGTGAACGCCGTGTGCCGGCCCTGCTGCTACAAGCAGGAGTACAGCCTGAACGCTTGAGGACGAGCGCTCCCCGACGCTGGACTGAGGCAGAGACACAGATCTGACAGTCACACACACTCACAGCTGTGTTTCTGACTGCAGTCGAGATCCTATTAGCAGCGCATGTTTTCTGTATAGAACAAACATTTGTATTGTATACTAGCTGCATTATGCATTTTGCTAAAACATAAAAGTATTTTTGTATGAGTTCTGGTCGTTTTGTACAGGAAGCTGTTTTGTAAATTATTTAAATACTGAGAGTATTAGAAGAACAGTTGATGAATGTTGTTTTATATAATTATAAACGCTGTAATATGTTTTGAATATTCCCTTCAATAAATACATAGGTTTCGAGTACTTTTGTCTGTTTTGTTAAATCAGTGGATAATTTCACATTTGGGGTTTCAGCATTTGCAGTACAACATTAATGCAAAAAATCCCCTGGGAAGGGGTTGCTGTAAGCCTCAGTATCCCGTTGCAGGATTAATCTCTCAAACCTAAAGCCGTGTCACACTGTAGCACTTGCACAAAGCCTTGCTGATATGTGTCGGTATGTGTCCTCTTGGTACGTGTTTTATAGACATGCAGATTTCTCTCCAAACATAAGCAACGCTAGGTACGTGAGCACAAACTCTTTAGTTTACAGATCTGTGAAAAGGTATAAATATTTCATGAATTTTTGTGTATAAATCATCCTAAACAGTTTCAGATTTTCCATCCCTACAGTATAGTATTGCCCCATAATCTTAATAACTGGTTGTGGTAACTTTAGCAGCAAAAAGCAGAACCAAATGCTTTAGAGAACCGTAGCTCAGTCTTTCACGTCGCTGAGGTGGCACTCTTCCTTTCAGACCAGCTTTAGTTCAGCCCCAATGGAGGTTTATTTCAGCATGAATCCTGCAACCGCATCTCAATCAGGTTCAGTCTCTGACTAGATATTCAGAGGCTTGTTTGCTTTGGATTATTGAAGTCTCCTGCGAAGACCTCAGATGAAGCAAGCTCTGAATCAACATCTCCGATGCAACATTTTTCTATATATCCTAATCATTTGTTGACGCACATGTATTCATTACTTAAATTAGCTCATTCTTTCTACCTGAAATTAATGCATTGTTTAAATGAATACATTATTATCTAACTGTGTGATTTATATGTACATTTCTGAAAATCATAATTTAGACACTGATAACAGATCACTCGAAATTGTAATGTAGACACATGCATTTTCTGTAAAGCTGCTTTGAAACAATATGTATTGTGAAGCACTATACAAATACATGTGAATTGATTTGGATGATTGTAGCACAATCCACTTGCGTTTCACAGACTGGTGAAATTCTCCTTTTAGGATTTCCTGGTAGAGAGCGAAATTCATCCATCCATCTTCCAAACGACTTCTTCTATGTGGGGGATGCTAGAGCATATCCCAGTGTTTCCCAGCCACACCAACAACACACATTTTGGGATGTCTCCTTTATCTGATGCGTTCATTTCATGTCTTGGAGTCTCTTCTAGTGAGCTGATGAGTTGAGTCAGGTGTCTTTGATTTGGAAGAGTTTGAAAATGTGCATTGCTGGTGTTCCTCCGCACCAACAAGGGGGGAACATGCAAACTCCTCACAGAATGACCTATTGGCTCGGCCAGGACTCAAGCCGGGACATCTTGCTGTGAGGCAACAGTGTTCCCGCTGAACCGCCAGAGCAGAACTATCCACTTTTGAATAGCAGAACATTCTCTCAGAAGTTTTGAGGATCATCAAGTTGTGTTTTTGGCTAAATTCAGACGAGCTTAATGTTCCTCAGCATTACCACTCTTCCATGGAGGCCATTTCTGGCCAGTGTCTTTGTGAACGCTGACCTCTACTGATGCGAGACAATCCTGCAGTTCCTCCGATGTTGTCCTTGGCTCTTGAGACTTGCTGGATGAGTCATTTATGTACTTTTAGAGGAATGTTGGAAGCTCAGCCAGTTCTGGTCCAAGTTTAGAGATAATGGATGTCAATATGGTTCTGTGGTTTTCCAGAACCCTGAAAATAGCTTTGTAACACTTCCCAGACTGATCGTCAATCATCCTCTTCCTCATCATAATTTCTGTCATTTATTACGCCTTCAGCTGAGACATCATGGAGACTTCATGTTGCTTAAAATGTTTGGTTTTCTAAGTCAACATTTTTTTTATATATAATTCTGTACAAGCTTAACGAATATCCCCCAAATGAAAATTCTGTCATTATTTACTGACCCTCATGCCATTACAATTTCCAAACCTGTGTGACTTTCTTACGTCTGTGAAGCACAAAAGGTGAATTTTTGAGAAATAGACTGGATACACTTTTTGAAATAATGAGGGGCTGTAGCAATTCATAATGTAATAACAAAGCATAATGTAATACTTGTACATAATTTAAAGGCACACTATGCAGGAATTCCGTTTTTGTCAAACAGCGACCCCTAGAGTCGCTGTGGAGAACTTGTATTTAACGTTACTGTCGTAAATACCACTCACGCAGAGCGTCTCTGCCATAGACTGGTCTCTGCACTCACAGCCTGATACCCCTTTGAAGCTGTTATATTAAGGTACAAATCTTGCATAGTGTGCATTTTTTTGCATTAAATAAGAGATCTAGCGCTAAAATGTGTTTTTGAACTCAAGCTGAGCGCTCGTGTCCGCTGCTATCAGTGTCATGGATACATAGTGTCTCTTGTGGCGGCGCACGCGCGGTCCATTGCATTTCAGGAACACCAGGTTGGACAGCAAGGGAGTTCCTTTTGACTGTTAGAATGTCATTCATGCAACTGAAGGCTCTTTCGCATTCACTGGTAGACACTGCAATTGTATGGACAGCTTTAAGAAGAGGCTTGAGGGCTGCTGGGGTCCGGGATGCCCTCAGTTCCTTGTACTCCCGAAATCCCTGGATGCTCTCTCTTCTCTCTATTTTAAATGTGTCACATAAGCGAAGGACCTCTGCTTCACCATGTTTTATGTCCAGATTTCCCTCTGACCAAGTATCTGGTTGAAGAACCTTGAAGTCAGACATCAGTTTGCTTCCACCTCTATGTGAGGAACTTTCCTGTGTGCTGACATGAGAGGAAGTTGTTAGGTGTCCTGGATCTCATATTTTCCACCATGCTGCGAAAGAACTGTCCTACATTGATCTTTACAATCCTTTGATTGTCACACAGTGATAAATTCTGGAACAATTTTTCGCTTTCAACTTGAAGAACAGTCTGTGTGTGGGGGCCAGGTGTTGAAACCATGGACTCAAACACCCGGATCTCCAGAAACAGCATCTTTGTCTGCTTCAGGCAGTGTTGTACCTCTCTTTTGAAGCATCCTTGAGAGATCACTCAGTTCTGTTAGGGCAACGTACATTACTCCAAGATTACACACGAAAGACACAGAGGTGAGAACGTCAAGGAGTCCCTTATATTTTGCTCTTTCTGTTGAATCCCTGGTGACATCATGAGCGCTCTGTAATTCTCCCAAACAGCCTTTACAGTCCTCTCACTTGAAGCTACCCAGCGGATTGACAAAACACGGCCAATGACAAGGAGACGCTTCCCAACACATTGTGCATGTTGATGCAATTCTCTTTGGTTTTTGGGTGAGGCATGATATAAAGTGTATAGCTTATCAAAACAAAAATCTTGAAGTGATTTAGACCACTGACCTCCTTGAGAACATCCCCAACTGCCAATTCTAGGCGTTGATTTAAACAGAGCCACACAAACAAGTCTGGGAATCTGGCACAAAGTTGTGTAGCCACCCCTGCTTTTCTGCCAAGCATCACTGATGCTCCATCACGTACAAAGGCCACAAAACACTCACCCAAAAAGTGGCCATCGAATCCATATGCATGGAGGCATAACAACAATGTATCTGTGATAGCATTTGCTGTGCTCCCTTCCAACTCCAGCAGGTCAAAAAAAAAACATGTCAGGTTCTGTGTCAGCAATAGCTGTCCGCAAACAGACAACCAACTCAGTTTTCCCACTGATCGTCGTAGACTCGTCGATCAACACGCACACTTTTCTTTTGTTTACAAGGATGTCATCGACCATCTTTTTCCTCATCTCCGTTGCAATATGGTCAATAACGTCGGCACATGTCTTGTCGGAATGCAGAACTCGGCCCATGTTCACTCCATTCAACTCTTGCAACATTATATCCATTGGCATGTCTTTGAATAGATGCCCGTGCTTGCCAATTTTGTATGCAGTTCGGAACACTCGAGATGTAGTTTCGTGTTCAGCCCTGTGCATAGATTGAACTTGCCTGCACAGCTCATTGCGGGATGCCATCTTTGCTATTTCGGCTGCCTTAATGTGTGCTTTCGAATCTCTGTGGTCTTTAAATTTTTTGCGCAGTGACTGCTGTTGCTTCGCCTTGTCTGTACCAAAGGCTTGAATTAAACATTCCCTCCATTCTCTTGACAACTTCAGTCCCCTCTCTGTCTGGGCAGCAAGTGACGGGACGCTGCTACATGTTTTGCAGCCCAGTTTGTTATTTTTAAAAACGAGCCAGCTGTTTGTGGAGCAAAAATACACCATTTGATCCCTTGACCAACAGTCAGGCCATCCGTGTGTTTCGTTACTCACGTTTTTGTTGACGTCGGTGTTATTGACTAGGGTAACGTTAAAGTTGGTAGCTGCAGACTCCTCATTAATGCTAACGTTAGCTGTTCCGCTCACATCAACGCTAACGGTATCCGATGTTTCTGGTTGGACATTCACAACCTCTGTTGATGTGTCTGGCTCTGGCACACACGTTCTTTTAGAACGTTTCTGAAGCCAGGCTAACGACTTACAATTTCAAACTCGACACACTTCTTTGTCTAGGTTTTCAATTTCAGCAGTGAAAAATCTGTTACGGTCAGGCGGAAGCCACAGGCATCAGACAGCTTCTGATAGGGTGGGCCGACTCCTTGCCTTTATGTAATTCGTCAAGATCTGAAATAAGTCACATAGTGCCCTCTGGGTAGTGTAGTTTATGTAACGTTAGGTGATGGTCATTACCAATCTTTCTGACACTGACGCTTTTTCTGTCAGTGGTGGAGTACCGGCTACATTCGAGAAGTAGCGGTAAGCAAGAAAAAGTGCAGGTACACTTAAGAGTAAAATGTAGAAGTGTCGGTACTGCGTACTGGTGAGTACCACCCCACTTCGAGCACTGCACCCAGTAGAGCATTACAATAATCTAGCCTTAATGTCATGAACGCATGAACTAACTGTTCCGCATTTGTCAGTGAGAGCATATGGAGTAATTTAGATATATTTTTAGGATGGAAAAATGCGGTTTTACAGATACTAGACACGTGACTTTCAAATGAATAATTGGTATCAAAGAGCACACCCA